TGGAATAGTGCACTGCTGACCTCTTTTCAATAGGGGCCAGATAAGCGTGCAGCGGTGCTGTGTGGCTCATCGCTGCGGTGGTGGAGCGCTTTTGTCCCCGGTGGTAATCCGCTCACTTTCAATGCCCCAAACCCTTATCACCACTTTTGAGAATGAAAAATGTCAGTAATGTCCGGCAGCCTGGTCTTTTGTTCGGAGTATGGTCTTTTGTTACAGGGCCCTGTTTCCTTTGTCCGATTTCAGAGACCCCGGCCACCCATATAAACCATACGTCTCCGATCCCGGAGTCCCCGGCAGGAAGTGGTTAAGAAGGCAATTATGATAGTCCTCACTGACTCTAACTGAAACCTGCACCCAGTAAATCTCAACGAGGAAAGCAAGCTCTCAGACGAGGACTGCAATGAACCGTCGCTATGCCAACAAGCATGGAACCACAGCAAGTGATCCCTCCAGTCTAAACTTCACTAATTTCCAAACTAATTGGTTCACATGGATTCCCTAACCCTACAATCCAACACTTCTTAAATAAGCTAACAATGCCCCAAACTTCGATGAGATCTTATGTAATCAGTAGCTCCCACAACTGTGAACAAGCGCCACTCTTACTGATTGCACCAGGCACACTTGAAGTAGATCCCAAACCACAAGTGGTTGTACATCAGATTTAACTACGTAGAGACGCCACAACTCCGCAGAGTTCTTGTTAGCACGCTGCTATCTTAACAAGTCCTGGCAACCCATGCAGCCAGCGCCCAGACCTAAGGTATTGCGCGCTTCTGATTGGTTGCTGCATGCATGTTTAATGCATGATTTACACGCGCATGAATTATTAATGACCCAGACTAAACACAAGTCTTCACAGCTACCCTATTTTGCCACAGTATGTTATGGGTGGGATATTCTTTACAATAATGGCTGCGAGTGCAATGGCTATTTATTTAGTCCACAGGTACAATTATACATGTACCGGTACTTTTCAAGGCAAATTGCCTGCTTATGTACATGTATCTTTAGTTGACTAATTTAATTTACCTTATTAATATTGGGTTGGGTAACTGAGTATTACTATTATGTTTTTATGCCTGTGAAAAAATGCCTTTGTTATTTTGACCGAATAGTTAATTTCATTACAACATTATTCCCTATTGAAACTTAACACACTACATACCCTTTGCTTTTGGATTTCAGTCCTACAGACTGAGCCAGTAGGTGTATGTACTTCCTTTCTGCATTGCTGAGTGAGGAAGGGAATTCAAGTTCTGCTTGCAGGGAAAGTAAACAACAGAGTTAAACAAAGAGGATGAATTGAAACAGAACAAAGTGGACAAAAACAGTGGCAAAAATCCTGTTAGAGGAAATGCATCAATATTGACAACGAAATTTGATTTAATAAAAGCATACAACTTAGAACATGGTAAGGCATCTTCTCAGATTGTTTTCCCTTAGAAACATGGTAATCTTTTGTATTTTATAGGCTATAATTATCTTTCATATCCTAAACATATATCCAATCTGAGTCGTTATTTTGAATAAGTTTTGTGTCTAGCAAACAAATATGGTTATTCCCTTGGCCCTCTGTAAACTCTGTCTTACCTTTCTTGCCTTCATCATGTCTGAACTCTTTGACAGCAATACTGACAGCTATCTTGACTTCTTCACCAACCTCCTTGGAAGATTCTTCGTTTTCTTTCTTCTTTTTTGGCATACTGCAGACCTCCCCACTTCCTTCAAGATGACTGGATTCAAGAGATGTTGAAGCAAATACACGTAAGCTGATAAATCAGATGCTTTGAATGTAAGTATATTCCTCCGTGGATATCAGTAATAGCAAATGATGTGACAGCTTGCTGAACTTTTCTGTGACTTACAAACAAACTCAAGTGTTTGTACATGTACATGTATCTAGTAGCTTAACAACAAAAACGGCTGTTTTTTTAATTTCACGCATTATTACTAACATCACTGTATAGTTTTTAAACCATACAGCTAATGATGCATTTTTTGAAAATTGTCATTTATTAGTAATTTATTTTTAACAAGCATTGATATTGACACAAATAACACAGATGTGATTATTATAATTCAGCGTTTCAGTGCATCACATCATGTACATGTACATGTAGCTGCAATCGGCTGAATAAAGAACATGCCCAGGATGTTAAATCTGGGTGCAATTCAAAACATGACTCTGTAACTTTTGCATTGAAATCAAAACTATTCAGAATATAAACAGTATTCACAGAGCTAAAACTTCATCAACTTCTTTCCATTTTGAGCACTTTCGTTACGTCAAACAAACAGTGCACGAATGGCAAATGAATGGACTCAACTTTTATTTTCTAGTGCAGACTGCAGGGAAAGTGAGTGCAACATTAGCTACATGTACATGGTAGAAAACACTTCACTTCTGCATTTTTGAATGATTTTGACAGTAATCACGTGCAACCAGGTGCTTGCCGAATTCCTGTACTGAAATCCAAACCCTTACCTAGAAGTTGATACGTACAATGTATATGTAGACACTGCACTCTAAATACCCCTCACTAAAGGTGACATCAAGCAAAAAGTTGGCACCTGTGCAAAGTTTAACTTGTGTGCACAAAGTTTCACTTTGTGCACACCTGGTTCAAGCTTATGTATGTATACATGTACCTTTTGAGACCTCCAATTATGATAGCCAAAATTGAGTGTGCAAGCTTTTACTTGCCTGCCTGCTGAGGTTGGGTGGTTGATCCACATAAACATGTACACAATTTGTTGACATGCATAAAGGTGGTCATACGTGTATTCATGCATACTTGGGTGGGGGAAGCTAAAAACAGTGTGACAGCATCGAAGAGTTCTCTGAATTTTGTTGTCAGAATTTCCTCAGTGAATTTGGTTTAGCTTCCATGGAAAAAGGAACTACACTGACTAAACCCCTGGTGGGATGGGATGTGTGCTACTGTACTGTCCCCGTCTCTGCACAAAGGGTGTGAGAGGGGGTGTTTATGGGGTTAGTGGATTTTCATGAATGGGTGTGGTTGAAGGGTAAATGCAGAGTAAATATTGTATTAAGTGAATTTAGCCCACCAGTTCCCAGGAATGTGTTATGAGGGACACTTAGGCCTAATTGTTTCTTTTAATAAAATATTTGTTTCAGAAACTTATTTTTTTTGGAGGAGGATTTGAGGCAGGGCAGATGTGGATGGTTAACACAGAGTTATGGGGTATGGGCGAGGGATGCATAGAACACTGGAGTATAGAATAATAACAATAGGAGTGCCATTTTTAGTGTGGGGGAGTGTAGCTTGTGAAGATTGTCAAGACACACAAGTAGACGAGCAAGGGAAGACTTCAATTGCAATTTATGAGGGCCTATGTTAGAATGTTAAATGTTGACAGACTGAGGAACTTCATGTTAAAAAAGTGGGCTAAAAATACTATTTTTATTGCAAAACTCATTTCCCCGTTTCTGAAAAAAATTCTTTTGACCTGTAAAAACCTGGAAAATTAAGCTTGAAGTTGTTTTAATTGCTTTAGATGCTACTTTAACACCAAACAGCAAGACTTGCCCTTTCAATAAATACATGTAGGGCCTAGACCTTGAACATTTCCAACACCGTTCATTTTGTAATCTTCCAGCTGCAAAGATTTAGGTAGGCCTAGGAATTTTTATTCGCACATGCGGTCGAACCCTCTTAAAGTCCCTGCCTACGCCTGGGCACAAAAAGAAGTAGGCTTTTTTTTGTTTCATGAATTGCTTAGGCCTAGGCCTACCTCTAAAAATTTCAACTGCCTAGTTGTTTCAGTACAATAGGCCTAGGCCTAGTAGTTTTCTGGAAATCTTGTCTCCAAACCACAGGTTTATACTAGGCCTTGAAATAGGAAGATCGAGGATACATGATGTAGGTTGCATGACCAGACATGCCAGATAACTCACTGGCATGACTGAGGAGCTCCTTTTTTTCTAATTTTAACTTGATCATACTGGACTGATCAGATTCATAATTTGAAAAAGAGTTCTAATGCCCCAGTGCTGTTTGTGTTTCTACTTCCACAGACCGATTAAGTTCAAAATTTGAAAAAAAAGGAGTTCTAATGCCTCAATTATCAGGTTAGGAGCTATGGTTGAACCATGGAGGAAGGAATTGAACACGTAGGCCTACAAGCTTTAGGCCTAGGCTGCTTCTAAACATGCTAAATTTTAATTCTATTCTGTCTCAGCATGATGTGTTCTTCTTATTCAACGTTATTGTTATGCCCCAATTATAGCATCAGTCCCTGTCCCAAGTATAGTTGGGACCGTTGCAACTGGAGCGCTACATTTGAGCCGACCCAACTACAGCAGAGAGTTCCGGTGTGCATGGTGTGCCAGCATGTGCCAAAGTCATATCGCTTACAAATGTCATGTCATCAGTCATAGGGCTAGATGAACAGATGAAGTGCCACATTTTAGATGAATTGTGTCAAGTGTGAGCATGGAGGAAGGAGGGGAGACACATTGACTTGGACAATGTTGAGACATTTCCCACAGACATTGGTCAACAATATGGTCCAGCCGACCTGTAGCACTCTAGTTGGGACTGTCCCAACTATAGTTGGGATTTATGCTTAAAGTTGGGGCGTAACATTATCAATACAACTTACAACTTAAGCAAGGGTTGGCAACATGGTCAAGCCATAACTGTGACCATGCTACGTGCGATTCCTAATTCTGTGGGCTCATGCCTGTAAAGATGACAATAAAAAATCAAAGAAAAAATTGAAAAGGAACTTACCAGTGTTTCCTTTAGGCCTACACTGACTCAGCTTGTCTTGCAAGCTGCATAGCCATCATGGTTGCTTTAATAACATGTTACAGGGGCGCGAAACGGGATTCCCCCGAAGTAGGAATGTCACGTAACAACAAGATGAGTCTGTCTCCCACTTACGTCGATGGCTTTCGGGACATACAAAAGCATTGGGAAAGTTTATGCTGGACTCTGGTTACCGCACTCATTTCTGGCTGTAAATTTGTAACCTGTCTTTTTTTAAAATTAAAACTAAAATTTCTCAACACTTGCTAAACTAATGATGTGTTAGGATTAGTAACCAAAATTTTGCTGGTAAAATTGATAACCTCCTTTGTATTGGCATTATTAAACAATAATTTCTAAGCTTAATTTATCCATGGAGGAATAAGTTATCGATAATAGGACATCTTTCAACACAAATCCCCCGTTAAATTTTGAACACTTTACCAAACAAATGTTGCAGGTACCAGACTAAAGAAGCAGACGACCACTGTTCATGCATGTTATTGTTACGTCCCAACTATAGCATAAGCCCCAACTATAGTTGGGACAGTCCCAACAGTAGTGCTGCAGTTGGGCTGGCCCAACCATGGAGGTAGAATCACATGGCCCAACTATTGTTGACCAATGTCTGTGGAAAATGTCTCAGCATCATCCAAGTCAATGTGTCTCACACTTGACAAATTCATCTAAAATGTGGCACTTCATCTGTGGGTGCATTCCACCAAATGGTTGTATTTCTGCGCGCGACCTCATTAACATTTTGCGATCCCACGGGATTTTTTCAAATAAAACAGGCCATAATCAGGAGGCATCCTAAAAATATTTCTATAAATCCCGAATTTGGGACTGATAGTTTCCAGTTCGGGGCATTTCTTTCACAAAAAGCCCCAAATTTTAGACCTATTTTGGATAGAGGCGGAAGGCTACATTCAGAAATTTTACTGCTATTTTGGGGGTATCTTCGTTCAAAGACGAATATAAAAATATTTTCGTGGCTAACCCCCATGAAATTGAAACGAAAAGCATGCAGGTAGGTGATCTTCCGGCCATAGTCTTGAATTTCCAGTGCAAAAACGGAGGCCACCTCCTTATGAGAGTATCAGGTGGCGCTATTTCTGTGCGGCGATTTTGCAGTGTTTTCTATAGGCGCGTATTTGGTGTAGTGCAACCCCGTTCATCTAGCCCTACTCCTACTAGTAGAATGACATGACATTTGTAGGGATGGACCCAACTATAGTTGGGACTGATACCATAGTTGGGGTGTAACACTATCAAGCTGCACTGAACATATATGTACATGTATATAACAAGATACGACTCACCAAGAAAGGAAAATGAATGCTCCAGATGTTGTTCTGGTATTTAGTGGTAAACGGAAATCGGGTAAAGATTTTACCACTGATATTTTGCTGGAGCGGTAAGTAGTAATTTAATCATAAATGTGGCTTTATAGTGTGGTGTAGGGATATTGTAACTTGACACTAAACTGTGCAACACTTTGGATTGTGAAAAGCCTACATCATGTACATGATGACATATGTATCACTTACTTGGCATGCTCAGTTAATTCAGTATCATTCATTGTCATTTCATCAGTCAGTTGACGATCACGAGTTGCATCTGTACCTGGGCCTTTTTCATTTGACTTTTTTGTTTTCACAGATTGGGTACGGATCTTTGTACAATACTGAGGCTCTCTGGACCACTCAAACACCAATATGCCAAGGTAATCTTGCTAGTCAAACATGTCAAATGAGTACTCTTGTACTTAAATAATACTGTAGGCCCTACCACCAATTATTGGTAGTTGTAGGGCCTACAGTGTCATTTAAGTTAGTCATGTTAGTACATGTACCATGTGTATGTGTAGGTTTTACGACTACATGTACATGCATCCGGAGGAAGGACACAAACTTCCTCCATGGTATGTGTACATGTATGTCATTGTCTGGTTTGATTAAGTGTGTTAGACCACGGAGGTTCCTGCCTCCATGGTTAGACCACATCCTTCAATATTTATATGATGAATCTGGTGGGATAAGGATTTATTCTGCCATGACCATCCATGCCATAGGCCTACTTGCAGGACTATTGATTGGCCAAATTTCAAAGAAAGTATCCTTGTACTGGTACAGGGGTCGAAATTAATGGTGGTCCGCTAGCCCGAGGTCAGCAAAAAAGTCGGGGACCAGCTGATCTGATAAAACTGGTGGTCTGGTGGGCCAGTTGAAATCTGATGTCTTTTCTGTCTTCACAAATATCTTTCAATAACCTTTCTCCACGTTAAAATGCTTGTTTTAAGAAAAAAATCCATTATTTTCACGTTCCGCTATTGCGGTGGTGAAAACATGTGCGCAAAGCTCAATGAATTAAAGCTGCTCTGGTTCCTGTCGCACTGCACCCATGCAAAAGAATGCGTGATGGAAATGTTGGAACCAGAACCAACCTGTGCTGTACATGTCCACTCTACATGTACATCGGCCGTACACGTCGTGGATGCAACCCTAATGCTGCAGGTCGAAAATACATTGATGTTGCAAGAGGTTTTCTGCAAGTTAATTCACAGAACTTGGTCTCTTATTTATGTATGTGTTGTCTGCATTCATGAGTTTAATTTGAGGTTGTTCTGCTCGTGGCTCCGGCTCAAGGTTTATCACCCGCTGGTCCTGATGCATCATGCACACTTACCACGCGATACATGGACATTGTTGGCCAGTTTGCTGTCGTGATCGCTTGAGTAGCACTATGTGAATTGTCTATAATTTTCTTGTGAATTTTCGAATGTAAAAAATTTTACATAGACTTAAGACAGGTGTAAATCACTTTTTGAGATAATTTTGGAAGCTGTCGTGCCCATTGATGCAATTCAATCAGCACAAATTTGTTTTTTTTTGAGGCATAGCACAACTGTTTTGTAGCCTAATAAAAGACTGCTTGTATTGTAGTAGGCCTAAGTTAAATAACCATTATTATCGTGGATTCCGAGAAATCTTGGGCAAGTGTTGATCCTATCGAGCAAGCAAATTTATGACATGGCCTGCCCCATCGGGCAGGCCATGTCATAAATTTGTTGCAGCCTGCGCCATAACAAGGATTGCTCAAGCAGCTGCATGTGCTGTTCTGGTATGGGACCACCAAACTTTCAGCAGGATCAGTGAAAATTTTGAAGTACTGGTCCTGCTGGCTACCAGGAAAAAAAGGTTAAATTCGACCCCTGTGGTGTGGTGCTGTGCTAGCATTTACAGCAACACCGGTAGATGTGTTTACTAACAAACGTTGGTCCAGTACTTTGTGATGTTATTTTTAATGTAAAGGTTTGCATAACTGTGAATTTTTAAGGGGACAAGGCAATACAATTATTTACTACAAACCTTAAAACTGTACCTTGTACTTCAATTAATCTTAAAAAAAATATTTTTGTGGTACTCTATAAATCTGTTAGGTTTAAGCAAAATTGTGATGCCATCCCACACAGTCAACCTCCTCATTGCACAAAAAGTGCTGGAACTGCTCTTTCAGATTTTCATGTCTTGTGGTAATTGTTTGTTGTGTAATTAGCCAGCAAACAACCTTTAGTCATGACTGTTTTCAGAGAAAAACATAGTGATTAAAATGTGAACATGAAAGCATGTAAACCGAACAGTGTGTTCCCTAATTTACGTCACAGCAACAGTGCCCTCACTTGTCTTGAGCAGCTTGGACGATTTTTAATTGATTGACATGAGTACACTTTTCAGTGTAATTCAGTAACTTCAAAAGGCTTTTAAACAATTTTCATACACTGGGGAAAAGGATAACGATGCTGAAAGGCGAGTGTGGGAAAAGTTCATTGCATGAATCCTTTAAACTGTTGATGTAAGATGGGCTATTTAAAAAGTGATTCTTGGCTCTTATCTTTTAGAAATATTCAGTGAGGCATGTTTTTTTGTTCCTTTGAAGTGTTTACTTTTCCTTCAATGTAGTTTGATGGATGTGGTGCCAACTTTTGGATGCTACATGTAGCGCTGATGAGAAACCAGGAATTATTTTTTATGTAGCCTTTTTTAAACGTAATTTGTTTCAAGGTAGGATTATAACCATTTGCTCTCGTCTCCCAAGGAAAATAACTTGGATTTCAATAAGTTGCTGGATGCCACCAGCTACAAAGAGGAGCACAGGGCAAAGATGATAAGCTGGGGTGAGGAACAGCGTAAGAAAGACCCTGCATACTTTTGTCGCCTAGCCATCAAAAGTGCATCTCCTAACCATAAAGTTTGGATCATCAGCGATGCTCGAAGGCAAACAGATGTCGCATTTTTCAAAGAGAATTACTCTAAACAGACTGTCACTATCAGAGTTACTGCAGAGGATAGTGTCCGAGCCTCAAGGGGATTTATGTATACTAAAGGTAATCATTCCATTAGTATTTTAAACTCGTCATGAAATGTATTTGATGTGAAACCTATTTTGTTTCACAAAGTCTCAGGCAGGTACATAGCAAGGGACTTGTTATCCCATAGTGAAACAGAATTGTTTGCCCCGGCCCCGTGTAGGTTAAATAACAAAACAAGATTGTGAAATTTATCATCCAGTCAGGAATAAGTTGGGATATTCTTTTATCACCTATTTTTACCAACCAGGAATCATGTTCAAAGTTCCAGTTCTTCATGAATCAATTTTACTAGATTTCCTTAGCTTCGTTTTTTTTTCTTTTAAATTCTTCAACCTTGTGTATTCTTCCACTGTGCGTCCTGTGTGGCTACTTCACATACTGTACTTACCTGGACTTTGAAAATGGGACAAGTCTTCGTGTAAACCACACATTTTTCCAAGTTCACATAAGTCACCAACTAATAATACTCACTAACGCATTATATTGATATTTGTTGTTGATATTATTTTCTTGTAGGTATTGATGATGCGGAGTCTGAATGCGATCTTGACCATGGAGTGACATGGGATTTCATTATATCTAATAATGGAAACATAGATGTACTTGAACCTCAACTTGCTCAAATTATAGACCATATACAAGAAAAGTTGACCTATACTTAACAGCGTTACATGATTACATGATACTGTCTAAATTTATAGACTGCATAACATTGGAATATCTTATAAATACAAATGTTCATTTCTTTGAAATGTTTGAAAATGTGATGCGCCATCTGAAACTCTTAGATATTGACTTAAATGATAGAAGGTTCCTGTTCAAGTTATATATCTAAAGTTTAGCTCATTTCAAATATTTCTGTATAGCATTTGCTCATCCCTATGGCTTGTCTTCATGTAAAGAGACATTGAAACAAGAAAACTTACCATAGCAAAAATGAAAAATTCCGGCAACTTTTCTTGCTCACTGTTTGTTAGATTGAAGATTTGCATTAATATATCTTGAAAACCAAAAAGTCTTCCAAATATGGGATTTGAAGATTACAAATAAAGTTGGATACTCAGGACTCAAAAGTGCTTTCCTTAAGAATTCTGTTAAAATTATTAAGTAAACCGCTTAGGCTTGCTTACCCGAGTTGAAATTTGAATGTTAATGACACAAATCAGTAATACATGTTCTACATTTACAAAGCTTTTCTGTGTACATGTTCAGGTATGCTTTATGTAACTTGTAATGAGTACAAGACAATACACTGTGCAGTATCTGATTGTAACTATGATATATTTCATCAAGCAGATCACACACGTACATTTCATTCAAATTGTAATCTTAACTTGTTAGTGCATTCAGTGCAATTTACTTGGATCGGGACAATAAATCACCGGGACGATAGTAAATAGTACGTGTTCTATCTTACGATGTCAATGATAATAGTATTCAAATACAATCTCAAAGAGAGGCCCTTTGATCCCTGATGGCGCGCTTCCGGAACCTTTGGGTCAGGAACGTACATAAAAAATTTAGACTTGCAACGCCTTTGTATGAAATAGAAGCCAACCAGCGGCCATTTTACCGAGCCGAATACAAAGGCGCGGGTTGGCTTGCTTTCCGTTGTATCTATTGACGCCAGGGAGAACCATGGCAAGCAAGTGCTGGGATAAGCTTTAGATTAGGCTCGGTAAAATGGCCGCTGTTGCATTCAATGATCTTTGTAAGCTGATTAGGGGCATTGCCAGTCCATATTTGTTTTATTTACGTCAGTGCCTTGGATAGGAAATATGGTGCAGAAATTTCAACATTTGGAATAATTTTAGTTCAGTTACTTCTTAAAACTCTACTCTTAAAAAGGCTTTTTGTAAAATATTTGAATATATATGAAAAAATGACCTGACATAAAAGAGAAATATCCTGCCAAAAATTGACCTACCACTTCCGAAAATCGAAAATACATCAAGAAAAGTGCAATTCGGTGGTCTCGTACGCAGATGAACAATTACGGAAAGATTATGGCTGTCTTTGAAATTTGAAATTTTGAAATTTATAAGGAAATAAACTTAAAGCAATGGTTTTGCGAAAGATTCTGATGCTGACAAGAACTTTGTCATGTCTACTCAACGGAATCTGGAACCCATCGACTGAAGGTAGGTAAATCTTTGCAGCGTTGTATAAACTCGTTTCCATGTTAAGCACGGGGAATGAAAACAAACGTGCATGAACAAGGAGACCTGTAGGAACGATACCACCGGAAGCAGAAGGTCGTCAATGAAATTAGTTTTTACCCATCTCCAGGTAACTTTTCCTATATATTACTTGACGAGGACAAGGAGAAAATTCCGACATGAGTTTTTCTTGGGGTGGTTTCAGTTAGAAATCAATTTCCAAAAATTATAGGATTTGAAAGGACGGCCCATGTAAAATCTCCATAAGCGGACCGCGCGAGAATTCCTGAAGCTAGCTGCGTAATATTTTACTGTCAGGCTCTATTGAATGAGATCCTTTTGGACGTTTGAATCACTTAAGTTCCCCATTCTGCTTAGTCTTGCCCCAAGACTGGCTGTGCTGTTTAAATTTGGTCGGCGCACCACCTCAGTTGCAGGCGCCATGCGCTGGCGAACACAGCTATACAGACCTTTTTCCAGCGATGTCAGGATCTGGCTGGACCTAGCTCTGATGTGTTGTGATGGTAATGTGCATAGTGTTGTGATGGTAATCTACTTATTCAAGATAAACTAATCAAGCATGCAGCACGCTTGCACGTGGTTGAAGCTGCCCGTAGGAATATATACGTTCACTGTGGCCAAGGCGGTGCACAGGTGGTGGTATTGTTTACATTTAGTCACACGGGTGAAAAAGGTCTATTCACACGAGACGGCCTGCCAGAAAACCAGTCTGTAGAAATCTGCAAAGCTTTTATCTGAAAATCCGAGCATACTTTACGCGCTCAAATTGCCATGAATAATTGTTCATGCGCACTGCCGAAAATGCAGTCTGCATGGCGCACGGTCTTCAGCAGTGCGTACGGCAGTGCAGTGACGTAGTCAGGGGGGGGATTACGTGCCCCCCACAAATGCGGGGTGCCCCCAGCTGCCCCTCCCCACCGAAAAAACGGATGAATGGATATTGAACAAAGGCTAACAAAACTCCCCCCAAAATAAATAAATAAATAAATAAATAAAACCACACCATTTAAAGCTGGTGCCCCCTTTGTGTCCTCCACAAGTAAAATCCTAGCTACGCCACTGGCGTTAGGGTATTAATATTCATGATCCTGAGCGAGTGAAGTATGCTCGGAATTGTTCGGGGTAGCCTGTCAGATTCTACAAGACTGGTTTTCTGGCAGGTCGCCTCTTGTGCTTATAGCACCCTCGATCAGTAGGTAGCGATATTCGGGTGAGCTCGCCAGCGCATGTCGTCTGCACGGTGCACCGGCCAAAACAGTAAAACCAGTCTTGCGGCAAGACTACATTCTGCAGTGCATTTCATTATGGCGGGCAAGGGCCGAAGACACTCTGGGGTGCACCACTAAAAATAAATTCCGATAGACAGCAGT